TCTGTTTTATACATTTGCACTACTTCACATCTGATAATCTTCACTGAGAAAACATGAGATAGGCATAAGTAATGTGACAGTTCAGAGATCAAAGTCCACAGATGTATTTTACCAACAAATCAAATCCAAAACTGGGCCTGAAAACTGGACAGTGGTAAAAGCATGCTTAGAATGTAACCAGAAAGTAAATGTAGTACAATACAATTTATACTAACTCAAAAATATGCAGACGCACATCGTACCTCAGGGTTGAGACTGAAAGCTTTTGCTGGTTTTCCAACACAAAGGAAGTCAAAGATAATTTCTTTCATTGCAAAATCTAAACGTTCCTAAAATAGTAAAAATATTTCAAATCATTAAGCTGCTCACTTTCGTTATTTATTTTCTTTAAGGCAACAGAATGCTGAAAACTAGTTTAATCAGGATTTATTTAAATGTACGGAAAACCAGATTTTCAGCAGTATGCAGAACATATCATATCTAAGCTTTCAACACTGCTGCATGTTGACAAATTCAAAAATTTATAGCATTGAAATAGAAAATGATCCATTTTGGAAATAAAGCTTTTCATTATTTCATTTAAACTGTGGTAATTACGGTACTAACATGTAAGTATTTTACATAAAAGGAGCTTGTTGGCACAGATGGCATGGTTCAGGGAAGATTTTAAGCATCTGTTTAATTCATTTCTATTCAGAGACTTTAAGTATGTGCTTAAGTGCTTTGCTCAATGGGAATGTTTCCTTAAATTAAGTAAGAAAAGAGATGAAACTTCCAGCACTGAAGGTTAGTTTATTTTAGCAATTCCCATTTGAACTGATGTATCAACTATATGCTGAACTTGGTTTTCCTCTGACTTACTGTTTTAAAAGCAGTGCAACTAATTGTCTTAAATAGTAGGAATGATTCAGTACCAGGACAAAATACGGCTTATTAGTTTGAACTTCATTGACAGCCAGAGCCTGTCAACAAATGCATTTTCTCACTTGCTGGCAATTCCAAAAACTCAAAAAATACACTTGAGTTGAAGTGAGAACATTTTTATCCATTTTCAGTGGAATTAAGTTAATCAAAACCTGTTGCTCAAAAGAAGTCTGCCCCAGCTTAATCTATAATTTTGTCATTGCCGAGATGAAAGATACTGACAACAGGGTTGCAAAAAATTCAGATAATAGAAGTTTACTTATTTGATAATTTATTGGGAAAACAAGTTACTCATTTATTGGAAAGACATATACATGGTTCTCCCATACCTGTGCAATAAACTGTATTATCTTCACAAAGATGTTTAGAGGCATATCTCTTGGCACAACACCACGGGACCCTTTTGGGAAAAGTGTTGTGACAATAGTAATAAGTCGACTGTAAAAGAAGGAAAAAAAGCATTACATGAAATGTAAGTTGGAAATCCTATTCCATTTAGAAAGACTAGAATGTATTTTCTTTGAAATGAAAATGTAATGGGGTATCTTGTCCCAATCTTCTGCTAGAAATTCAGTTTAATTATTTTATTTCATTACTACAAGTAACAATAAACCAGTCAATGACACGGAACTACAAAAATATTTCTAACTTCAACTAGGCAAAGAATGATTTTTAGTTTTGCCAAAAGCAGAAACACTTTATACAGTAATTTTAATAGGTGGAGAATAACTGATGGTGCCACAATTTTTTGTATACAGGGTTTTTTTTAGTGTCACAACAGGAATAGGTTCAATTCAAAGGAATTCCGGAGAACTATAAAACCTCTTCCATGGCAACATCCGCTCTACAAGGCCTGACTATCATTACAAATACAGCATCTTACCTTTGGGTAGCTGTGTTGCTTTCACATTTAATTCTGATCATGTAAACCCACAGTAGTCTGTACAGAGATTCCAGTGCAACTCGAGCCATTTTTGGGTCCTTATTCTAGAGAAATATATAACATAAGAATAAACTTCAGGCACAAATTAGAAAGGAAGTTCTGCACTTAATGGATGTCAAGGTTCAGTTTTCATAATGACACTACAAAAAGATACAGCCTCACAGCTCTCCAGTACCCCATTCCTGTAGCTGCAGGACGCTTATGCACCTGACCTTCCTCTCCTGGTATTACTCAAGTTGTCAAAAAACCCAAGTATCAAGTTAGTTAAATTAGATACATGCTATAATCTGAAATCTCCATTTGAAAACCACCTCAATTTGACTCTGAAAAGAAAACCTCATCAGTCGATTGTCAATTCAAAAGTGTTTCCCTATGATGGAGACCTGCTATGAAGAACACAGCAGATAAATAAATGTACTGCACATATTCAAAAGTGAAAGGACAAAAATCTGTGTATGCTTAGACTGGCCTAATTAACATGGTATCTGGGATCAGCTGGACTGAATTGGATTATCTGTCTATATTGCTGTTCATTTTTGAAAACTTCTGAACTAGTACAAGATTGACTTTGGGTCTCTGGTCACATGCAGTTTTCTCTTTCTGTGGAAGATTTAAGGGCTTTCTGAGTAGAGTGCAAGTATATGCAATCCAATTGATGGTGTCCTGCATGTTGGGCCATCTGCTGGGTTAAACTTTGAAAGAGTTCAGTACACTCTGAACCGAGATAAGATTTGCCTGCCCACAGTGCAAGTCTCCGTGGCAAAGAGCTGAATTGTTGTCTGCAGAAAAATGTTGAGTCACAGATCAAAGACCGCGGTTTGACCAAAGAAACTGCAACCAATGCCATCAATAATTCTTGAACATGTAGCAGTCTAGGTCCTGCAAAATAGAAGGAAGACAACCTGCCAATGATATGGGATATGGCTCCAACTTCCAGTGTGGCATCTGTCACAAGCTTAGGAATAGGAACACTGTCCTTGGGCTGTGATTTCCATTTAACTTCTTGACAACACATTTTATACAATAAAACTTTATATGGAATGGAAAATTGAAAATCTTTTTTGTTTATTATAGCGGTATACAATGCAGCACATGATTAGAATAAGCAGCAAAAGGAATGTTGAAGTTTACATAGCCTATTGATCTTTGCAGGATTTTAAAATCATAACGTGTTACAATCCATTTGTTTAATACCCTGTTTACTTTCAGTCCATTTTTCATCAGGTATCACCAGGTAATATCCTTGTAAATTTCAGTCCTAAGAATTTAATTTCTTCAATCGGTGATGGAGTACATTTATCAAAGTTTATTCATACCCCAAAATTTTCAAGAATACAGCAGACACTGTGGCTAACTGAATTAAGGTAACAAGATCTTGTGTGGCAGAGGAGGAAGTCACCCCTATAAGCAAAAGTCCAAACATTCCAGTGACGAGATAGTTCAGCTTTCAGCTGTGAGGGCAATTGAGAAGAAATGGAGAAGAAAAGGGTTGAGACCAGCATCATTGGAGCTTTCCAAAAATAGCAGACCAGTTTTCTGTCAGAAACAGCAAGCTGCATAGTAGATGCAGGATTGAGAGGCAGATGATAAAAAGTCTGAGAAACATCCAGAGAAATCATGGGCATGTCCACAGGCAAGATCCACGCAAGTGCATCGTGGTTGGGTGCCTGGTACTTCGGAAAGCACACAGCATGTCTCCCTTTGGAAAGCTGAAAGAAGTTGACCACCAACTGAGTCTCTTTAGTATTTTGAGGATTTTTGTCAACAAGAAAAACCCAGCCAGTAATCCTACTAGGACAAAGAGTGTTTGGCCTAATATATCTAACATCTTCTTCACTTTCCCAACAGGAGGTATTGGCACTGGATGTGGTTCCTTTACCCAGTGCCCAATTCACTGTTGGTGCCAAAGAATTTGTCAAAGTCAGCATGGGCCTTTTGAACACAGGAGCAGCCAGCGACAGAACTCTGCTAGGATCTGTTCTGTTTCTTGATTGATAAGTGCTGCTGGCTTTTAACCAATGTTGTTGCTCTTCTAGAAATTTCTTTTTCAATGCCACTGCCTCTTCATCTGTGATTGGCAGAAGAGCAACTGGACTGCCAGGAGTGAGGCCTGTTTTATTTAATTCCTCCATTTCTGTTTTCCAATAATATGGCATTAGGTCTGGCCCATTCAGGCTGAAGGGGTATTGTGTTCGTACCCATGGATTCATTCCTGAGGTAGGCATTGTTTGACACATTTTTTGTAAAGTAAGTTCTGCACCCTCGGCTCAAATTGTAGTGGAGCTTTCTCCTTGTTCCATGTGGTTTGGAGACAAGGAACTGTTGCTGACACTGAAAAATTTCACCTCTAAATGAAACAAAGTGTTTTGACTCTCTCCTATATAGAATTCCTGCCTTGAATAGTTTTTTGTCAATAAAGTTTAGTTAATGATTAATGTTCCATTTCAAAACCAGGATACTTATTAACTCTTACACTACTTTCAACAGGATAGTATAAAATGCCCTTTGGTCAGAATTTGTCCAGGGTCAAGTATTTCCATTTCCTAGCAGGAGTTTCCTTTATTAATTTAAGAAAAAAGTTTATTTCTGTAAGATCACAGGTTTGCTAGTTTATATTAAGGTCAGAAATATGACTACAATATAAACTCTTTAGCTTTCCCTTTGTATGCTTGATCTTAATGGTTTTGTCAAGGAGATTGTGCTCTATGGGGTGTGGAGGCTCTTCAGAAACCTGACCCATTATGTGGTTCATGGCAGCCCACACAAGATCATGGAGTCCTATATACTGTCCTGGCATGCACAACTCTCCTAACAGAAGGATTTCTCCTTCTTGTTGCTCTAGCTCTTCTTCCAGCTGCACGAGTTTGGTTTGGGCTTTGAGGTGGCACCTTGACATGTGAAGTTATTGCTTCAATGGCTGGGGATTTCTTCCTCTATACTGAGAAGGAGTGGCCAACAACGTTCCTAATTTAGCCACATATTCAACTACCTTACCTTCTTCCCAAACTAAAGACTGAATGTGCCATCACATTAATTTGAGCCCTATCAAAGGCTGAATTGAAGTATACGTCAATGAATTACAGGTGGTAAGTTGAATTCCAATTTGATTTTCAATTGGTAAGGTAGGAGCAACTTATATTTTCTCTAATGGTTTCAAATAATTTGTCAGGATCTCCCTAATTTTCAGAAAAATCTCTATTCCCAGCTGGCTCCTAAGAGATCTTACAGCTGTAGATGCCTTTTCTATAACCTGTATAACTTCATAAAACCCCATCAAATCAGCCACAATAACACCACGTTTATTTTCTGAATCTCTTTGCAAATAAGGTTCTAGTGCATCTTCAGCAAAAGTAAGTAACTCAGGTACAGGTGGAAAGAAATCTTCAGACAGACTATGAACATTTTGAAAAGCTATTCTAACAGTAGGATCCATATGAAAAGAGTCAATACAGATTGTTTCACTAAGACAGAAAGAAAGAAAGCAACAGCAGTAAAGGATGTAATACACACCTTGTCGACAAGCTTGGGAATTCAACTTTTGGAGAACAGAGATTCCCTCCACAGTTTGCCTCTGAGCTGAGAAAGTGGTTGCATGTTCTACCTGTGCCATTTGCAGAAGCCTCCTAACCACTGATTCATGAAGCAGGAGTTTGGAGGCCCTTCATCTGAGCTAACCACTTCACTGTGCTTCTTATATTGGCCTTTTCAGGTAGGCACAGGACCATCCTTTCATATGGATCCACTTTTAAGTGTGGAATGGGACATGAGTTATTGCACGAGTAAAAGAAACACAGAGGAGTAGTAAAGATAACTAGCATATGAGTATTGAACAATATGTGCTGGCCAGGAATCATAGCAGATTGCAGTGGACAGTTAGTCTCAAACTTCAAAGATCTAACAAATGGTAAAGGAATAAGAATGTATATGTGGAGGGAACAACCTAAAGCAGTTTAGGGTTTTTTAATGCAACTTAACAGCGTGAAACAGGCAATGGAATCGGTGTCGGAGAACCACAGAACCATAGAATGGTTTGGGTTGGAAGGAACCTCAAAGACCATCTAGTTCCAACCCCCCTGCCATGGGCAGGGACACCTTCCACCAGACCAGGTTGCTCAAAGCCCCATCCAACCTGGCCTTGAACACTGCCAGGGAGGGGGCAGCCACAGCTTCTCTGGGCAACCTGCTCCAGTGCCTCATCACCCTCACAGTGAAGAACTTATTCCTAATATCTAATCTAAATCTCCCCTCTTTCAGTTTAAAACCGTTACCCCTCATCCTATCACTACACTCCCTGATAAAGAGTCCCTGCCCACCTTTCCTTTAGGTGGAAGGTTGCGCTAAGGTCTCCTTGGAACCTTCTCTTCTCCAAGTGTCCTCCAACTAGTTCTATTCTGATGAAGTGAATAACAAATGCTTTGGTTGAGAATGCCTTTGTGAAAAATAGCAAGTAAATATTGGGTCAGTTTTGGTATGTCACTCAAGCTAATGACTTTCTTCAACAACATTGCCTGTTTCATAGCTGCTTGACTCAGGCTTGGTTTGAGTTAGAGAAATTCAAACTAGACACAAGAATACTTTTTTGTTATTGAAAAAATTGCACAGCTAAAGAAATTGTACTGTCAGGAATAAAATTAGGTATGGAACCAGATAATAGCAATAATCCAGCACATGTACCTAAACCAGATTTGCAATAGCTCAATAGTGCATATTGAAGTTTTAATATAATATTAAAACCAGAAGATACTAACCTTGAGATTGGATAGGCAGTTGTTGAGGAAAATATGCCATCTGTTTAAAAAGAACTGCTTCTGACTGACACAAAGCAGGCATGTTACCAAAGGGTACAAAGCCTAAAGAGGAAAAGGATGTCAATTCTGTATCATTTGCATGTCTACGCAACATAAAGTAATTTAATAGAGCTACTGTAAACTTAAAACTCCAACTCCTCCATTTTGTGCAATGTATCTTAGCCAACATAAACACATTATTAAGTAGTACAATTTAAAAGGAACCTTTGTCTAAAGCTGTTACAGATGTGTTTTATGGATGAACTAAAACCAACCAAATGCCTACTTATAGTAGTATAATAAATTCAAAGATGGGCCACAATTTTACAGACTCACAGTGCTAAGTTCTGTCAGTTAACTGAGAAATGATAACATGGAAACAACTAAACTCTACTGTAATAACAACAGGACCCACAGAGACTGTTGGGACTTGCGAATGCTCAGACGCCTATTACTCCTCAAAATCTGCAGTCACAATATTTACTGAGAGAAATGTCAAACACCCTAAAGAATTGTGTTCAAATACAGGTAATGTCTGAATCTGCTGGTAGTTACATCTTGCAAAGTGAAAAATAAAAAGAAGCAAGGCAGAACATAGCAGTTCGAATTCTGGATCCTGTTCTCTTTGTCAGCACTTCAACACTCATCTTGTAAATGTTACACTAAAAAAAAAAAAAAAGCTAAAATGCACCTATTAATTTTGAAACTGACTTTGCTATTTCTGTTTCAGACTTTTCTGTTTCAGTTGTCATGTGAATATACCCAATCAGGACTTTAAAGTTATTAATCAAAAATAAGGTCACTTTATCTTAAAGACAAAGGATCCTCAAAATTAACCCTAAAATTCTGTCACAGCTCACAGTATAAATACACCATAACCTCCAACTTTGTCCTGCAATATATAACATAAATTGTAGCTAGGTTAGACCTGGCTTCTTGAGCGAGTTGCAAATGTACATTATTTCTATTTTTTGTAATCTTCACATCCAAAATACCTGTCCAAATATGGGAGAGGATAACTGAAGTCTCCCCATGGAAGACTTTCTTACCAAAACATTATGATTACAATAGTTGAGCACTTGACAGGATGACAGAGTTTAGTAACACCCCAAGTGTTACAGCCCATCCTAAGGAAAAGCCCTGAGGGAAGACACAAACCATCTCCTGGAGTTTCTCAATTGTCTCACTTCATTACCAAAAGAACCTCAATAACTAGCCTATGCGATACTTTTAGATAGAAAATGAGGCAAGACGAATGCCCCCATCCTGCCTGTACAGTGAGTGCACCAATTCACAAAACACTGATCTTGGAAAGGAACGTCCCCTTCAGACTTTAAAGAGTGTGCTTTCTTCCTGGAAGTCTGGAAATACGCACTGCAGCTATTTTTGCCAACTGTTTGCCTTTCCCCTCCTCCTCCTCCTCGCAATGTTTGTATTTCTAATCACACCCTCACAAGAATCTGTTCTATTTTGTCACTTTTAACTATGTAGCCTCCAGTGCGGTATGTGTAGACAAGCAATCAAATGCAAAGCCCCAGCTGTGCAATCCTTTCTCAAGCACATAGTATTGACTTTGGCAAGTACGGCCACCCATTTGGGGAAGTTCTATTTAGTGTAAAAACTGTACAGCAAAGCTCTTATCCTGGTGCAGTTTCAACAATGTTTTATTAACTCGGCAGAGTGGAATAGAGCCACATAAACACAAGCGGAGTGAATTCAGAAAACCATCCCAAGACTCCCACTAATTCAAACCGGGTCAGGACTGCACCCCAGGAGATGCTCTGGTTCTCCCCTGGGACTGGTGTAATGGCGGCAGAGAGCTCAAGCACACTCCCACAGTCCTCCCAGCAGATTCACTGTCGCTAGTGACCAGAGTCTGCCCAGAGCGCCGGGAACACGGAAGTCTTTTTGACTTTCCCATAGAATGAGGGAGGACAAACGACAACTTTCTTTACTTAAAAGGTCCAAGACTTCAAAATGGATTAGCTAACGCTGCATTGCTGACATGCGCTGACCCAGTTGGAGAGACAGACTGCTTAAGGCGGCCAGCATCAAACTGACTCAGATCCTCATTTAATTCAGATCAACTCATGCTTCCAAAAATACTCTGCAGTGCCACTGTTCATCTCACAAGAAAAAAATGAAATAGGGAGCTGCACAGTAGTCAAGTTACAGATTTAAAAGGGCATGTGTTATACATTTTTTCATTCCTACAATGTATTATTTAAGCCCCATGAAAGAGTTGTTCCCACATGCCTCATTTGTTCTCACTTGACAAGAAAACTCTTTTCTTTCTCCTCTCCTTCTAATGCTTACACATAACAAGTACGAGAAAACCTAACCATTTAATAATCACAGAATCAGAAGCTGAATACATCTGTTTGATTCAGACTGATCTAGATCATATTCTGAACAAAATAAATATGGTTATTTTCTGCAAACACAATAACCTTCCCTGCAAACAGAAACGTATTGGTTATAAAGCTGAACGCAGAAAAAAGTTTTGCAATTTCCCAAGAGTCTGGCTGAGAGATATTTCTGACAAAGAATTTTAGCCTCTGCTTCTTAGGGTTACTAACCAATGAGTGCTTCTTTCGTGAGGAAAGTTCAAGTGTTGTATCATACAGGCTTTCAACAAAGTTCCTCAGACAGGGGACATTCACTTCATTTTTAACAGCCTGAAAGAAAATTTCATGTTAAAACACTATTTCACAAGCTGGTTTATCTAATTTAAAGAAATTATGCAAACGACCTGAAAAATAAACTCACAGCAGCTACGGGTACAAGAATTTCAACAAATAGTCCTGCCAGTGCATGCTTGATATCTTTGTCTTTAACTTCAAGGAAATAATGTGCACATTCCTAAAACAAAACAAAGCAAGAAACATAAATTGTGTATCAGCTGAAATAAAGACCTCTAAATGTTTGCTGAATGCACATCAAGTGTCAGTGACTATTTTTATCTTGCAAATCCCACAGAAAACATTTGTCTATTAACTTCTAAATCTGCATTTTGCAGCAAGCATAAAGGAGGACAAAAGTCAAGATCAAGGATCTGTTACTCTAACCATGATAATCCCCAAAGTCTCCACTGATTCCAGCTGTGCCCGGTAGTGTTTGAGGGATGGAAAGGGAGTTGGACTCATGACCTCATGCCTTCCCTATGTATATATCTTCAGGAGCAGGAGTAACAGCCCACACGGACTGCTTTACACAATGCTTTGAGAGGCCAGAAAAGGAATATACTCCTCTGGTAAGATGCTCAAGGCAAGGAACAATCTTACTGTAAATATTTTTGGATAAATTTCACTACTAGGATCCACTGCAGATTAAGCGTCAATATAGAACTGTGGTATGTGAGGGAAGAGACCTATGGCTCAAACCAGCACAATTTCCAGCCTGCAACTGGGGACTGAGAGAGAAAGTAAAAATGTACTTTTGTCCTAAACATGCAGCAAACTACTATCCACACAGCTGCGCTGCTCAGGAAGTGAGGGAGGGGAGATATGCATCCACCCACTCGTGTGTTTCTGTGCAACTTCTCTGAGGATGACAAATCATGTTGCTCCAGTTACTTCTTCCTCTCTGGGTCCAAGACCCAAACAGCCGTTGACGTCACATGGAAGGTCCCCACTGATCTTTTTTTCCTGCACATGTGTGCAGAGCAGTTTACACTTTAGACAATGCATAATTTTTCCTGGCTGCAATCAGCATTCTACACCACATGGCTTCAGTCACTCCAGCCATTTCTGCCACACAGCTGAGGCCCCTGTGCAAAGGCAGTAGCCTTCCTGAGCTGCTTCTGCACTCTGTGGTGGAAGACAGGCTCTTCTGGAGCTCGTTCCTGAGATTAGCTCACCCTTTGAAAGTGTCTCTCTCTATTAGAGCAGAGACAGCTTGTAGCTGGAGCACTGCATGTAGATACGCAAACTAACAGATGAATTGCTGAAAAGAATGGAACTGTATTTCACCAAACTGATCAAAACTGGTTTTCTGACATACACAGTGCATCTTCTGATGCATTGTAGTATCGATAAGAATTAATTTCATGCTGAGATACCACAGTCAGGGAAGGGAGAGATCATTTGCATCCAAACTTTGAGTTCTACTATACGGGAGCTTTACCACTGATTTCAGAAGCAGTGAACACTGGATCCCAGCAGCTGTGCCATAAAGCTGTGCCACAAAGTCAGTCACTCATGAGTTGTGTGCACTGAACACACACTACTTTGATATCTTGCCAGCTCTGGATAACTTACATTAAGTCAACACATACTAAGATGTGTTCATATAATGAAGTGTAAGGTAAGAAGAAAAATGATCTGTTTCTGTGTTGTTAAATATGTTTTAAACATGTTGTTAAATATGGTTTAAAACATATTGCAAAACTGAAATAGAAAGTGTTTCCTGTTCGGGACTTAGAGAAATGGCTCCATTTGTCCGTATGCCTGTGTATTTGTATTCCAATGTCAAATCCTTACTTGTGGGTATCTAACATCGATTTTTCACTCCATTGACACCATCAATAAGCTGATCTTTACATGGAGGTTTAGATAAAACAAGTATTTTACTGGATGAGTGCCTGCAAACCATGAGAGGCTGATCCCAAGAAAAACCAGGAGAATAAAATTGTTAAGCTAAATAAACCTGCTGATGGGAACAGAACCCACTGCACATTACCAGCAAGGATGTGGACTTTTTAAATGTTTAAATACAAAATATTTTCTTTCCGTTTACAAAATGATGTAGTCTATTAATTTAAAGCATTCAGGATAGTCATACCATGCTCCATTCTAGTGGCTCTCAAATGGGGTGGGTACAGAATGTACCCTACAGGAAGGGGGGTGAAGGCGTGGTGAAAGGAGGCAACACATCCAAAGGAAATTCCATCCAGCTTTTGCCTCAATTCTTCCTCTGTGCTTTTCTGCACCAGAAGTTCCTCTCCTTTCTGGCAACTATGACAATGATGCAAGATTCACTTTGGAGGCAGTGAGCAGCTAGGGAGACACAGCTAGGCAGGGCCACTGGGCAAGGAACAGCTGTGGGATGGCAGGGTGGAAGGCCTGGGGTCTACAGAACCAAAACTCTTTTGTTGGAGGGTGAGATGTAGGGACTACGGCTATACGGCTGATGAAAAGTTGGTATGGAATGATACACCTCAGAGACTGGAGACTAGAGCACTGAGATTCAGAATAAGCAGAAAGAAGCTGCACATACATTTATGTGTGAGTGATAAATGGAAAATATCCTGCAGTATTACAGGAAAGATGAAGGGGAGACCATTCTATAAGGTATGCGAACCACATTTATATACTCAAGAATTTTACCTGCATAAACTGAAGAGAAGCTTCGAAGTCCTCCACAGGATACATCTTAATCCGAAAGAATTTCATTCCCATTATAAGACTGATAATGCTTTGAACTACATACGGACTTTGTTCTTTATGCCGTAACTCTTTTAACTCTGCCATAAATTTCTTCTTTACAGCTGGAAATCTATGAATTCACATTGGTTAGTTACAAAAAAATACACATTAATATTTTAAATGTATTGTAAGGTATATAAATGGGGAAAAACCTGAAGAAGATTCAACTCTGATTGTAAAATGCCATTTCAGTCAGTATGTGAACAGATTTATTTTTGTTTAGTTTTCTTTCACTTCTGATAAACTCAGAAAACAAAGTGTACAGCCTGATCTTAGTCCCTTTAGACAACCACATCTTTCAAAGCATTTTCTTACCACACCCCTCTTTTACATAAGAGCTAACAACATCATTAGAATAACCCCCTCACATGTTTTTCAAAAATCCAAGATGAAAGATAGTTTTCTTGCAAGTACATGCAATGTTTTAAAAAGAAAATGCTTAAATGGTAACAATGAAAATATTCGGGCAGGCTGTTCCTCCCTTCAGGATTTTTCTAATAGCCATTACCATAACCAGGATTAACTACAACAACTTGGGACAGAGGGGTCTGTGACTGTTTTTGATCTTCCCTATGAATCTATTGGAGCTGTCTGTTGAGACATGCTGCCCACAAAAATAACTTATAGGAAGATCATCCAACAGGACCTCCTGCCCTTTTTGAGACAAAATGAAAAGAATGTCATTTTCATGGGCAGGTGTAGCACGTAACAACCTTTTGTTATTGCCTCTGATAGAGAACACAGGAGATGAAAGAAACAGGTTGGCAGGAAGAAGCCCTCTAGCCCCCATAGCAAGGCCCTTCACAATTGGAGAAGAAAAACAGTATTTAAGGAGAACAGGTATGTTTTATCTTTCACAGTCGACTTGAAGCTTTGGATCCAGGCATCACTTCCCCTTTTGCCTTGGACCCAGTCAATTTAGAAGCCCAGGTAAGGCCTTAGCTGAAGTCTGTGAAAGTTATGTGACTTCCAGGAACTCAAACTGCTTTGGCTACATCAAGCTAAGTTGATGGGTCTTGTAGGGCAGCCTCACTCTCAGCAACACCAAGAAGTCAAGAGACATACATCACTGTGTTGGGGCAGTAAATTTCAGTCTCTGCTTAATTTGTGGTGTTAGTGTATGATGGAGTGTTACACTAGGTACATGAGTTTCTGAAGCTGTCTGCTTCCAGATTGAAAATTTAAGACCTGATCCACAAAGTGTTTTATGTCACCTGCTCTAAGAAGTGCAGGATGAAGGATTCAGAAGTGGTTGCATTAAGTTCTGAACTGAAATAACTGCAGAGAGACGTAAAAATGCTGCTATGTTGGAGGATAGCCATTTTTAGGTTTGCTCAGCTAGAGAAAAAATAGCATATAGAAAAAAACGAATTAAAATAGCTATATTCAGCCCTTTGGGCTTTCCACAGACGTCACTGCTGAGATAACAAAAATAATGCTGCTGTAGTCGAGTTGAATTTATTCAGTACAAGTGGACTTGATGCAGAAAGCCTGTGCTCCCCTAGAGTTCTAAGCGTCAGTCCATCGATGAATAGAGGGACAATGAGCTGAAATGACTTATTCCTACACTAACTTTCAAGAAAGTGAGAAAACCAAAATATTCACATGCTAAGCAAGCAGAACTTCTCGGATTTATGGGGGAAATATGATATTCAATTTTGCTTACTTTGCTTGAGCTAGAACACCTATTACTTCTGCATACAAATCTGCAACAATGTGCATATTTCCAGTGTTAGGACCAAGGTACCTAGCAAGAGATAAGAAAGAATTATTGGCTGAGAAAGCATACTGCTTAAACTACTACTATTAAAAAATTAAGAAAGCAATTTCTTTCATAGAATTTTTATATGAAATTGTATGAAATGCCTTACCCTTCTTTGTACTTAAAGTGCTTGAAAGCCAAGTTAATAACATCATGTACCAAACTGTCTATTACAGGATGAAGTGGAATCTGAAAACACAAAATAAAACTTTAACGAGTACACACATATTACACTTCAAGCTGCATACCTTAGTGCTAGTATTACTCATGGATATCTTCCATATGGGATCAGCTGAAATAGCATCTAGCTAACAAAACAGCTGAAATGAGCCAGCCACTTAAAGTTTATTTAGTATTGAAGAGAAATTCTTTAGCTCCAAAGACTTGGCAAAGTGAAGTCTGTGCAAGCACGGAATTCTATGTATCCTATGGGTGCAAGAAAGACAGCAATGAACAAGCATGCAGGATGTATCTCATGTTTTTATTAGACTCTAAAGATGGAAATAGAAAGAAGAACCCTAAAATTCAGTTGTTTTGGTAATTTCCATATTTTATTAGTTAATGGATAATTTAAGAACTCCATACCTGTTTCAAAACTTCTATTAATACTAAAGAAAAAATAAAATCAATAGCCAGATCTCTTCTCTCCATTAAATAGTCCCTCTGCTGTTCATCACTGCAAAATCAAACCGGGAAACACAATATTTAGGAGATGTGTCATAATTCATATTATATGCCTTCTTCAGTTACACAAATACAGGTAACAGGTGATTGTGTTCTACTTATTAAACTGCAGTCCAGCATTTCAGAAAGTAATGCACTGATATGCTCTTAAAATCTGAGATAAATAGACTAAATCTAACGTGTTACTTTCACCTTCAAATATTTGAATGTCACTCTCCATTTCCTCCCTCTTTCTTCCAGTTTAAGATTAACACAAAACTTTTTCAAGAAAAAAAGCAAACAAAAAAACAAAAACAAAGGAACTTTTGGGTCCTGTATTCTAACAAATGGATTTCATTTCAATTTCCTTGCTGATGGCACCATTTAGACAGTTCTCAATTACACTTTGGAGGCAAATGTAATAAATCATTTTGAGCTATCAAATTCCTATTTAGACTCATAACAGATTTTGAAAAAAGGCCTTAAAAATACCAATGGAGAATTCATAACCAAACTACTTTATCTTTTTAAAACAGTTCCAGTGTTATTTTTTTAACTTAGGCATCATTTGTCAAATGTTCAAATGCATTCCTTGTGCGGAACAACACAGAGGAATAAATATCTGAGGTGAGTAGCCTGCAATAAAAATACAAAAAATATCCCTTTGGATCACCTAATCACAGTTTAAAAGTGTACTGAAAAGAAAACGCAAAATAAAATATGCAATACTTTTGTAAAATTAAATGTTAAAGGGACAGTTCTGCCATCTGTCTGAAGCAGTTACCACTGATTTCAGCGAGATTTTTGTTTGCATAAAGCATTTAGAGCTTTAGTGATTTCAGTTGTACTTATGTGCTTATAATAAAATACGCATTTAAGATTTCTGCTTGATCAGTGATGAAATAAATTATTTGCATTTTGATTTTCTTGGTTTCACATTAACCGGAAAAAGGACTGGTTATACGTTCTTTCTGTAACACTATCAATTGACAGAGTGGCCTTGGTTCACTGCTAAGACGACCTTCAACTAGATTTTGGGTGGAGTTCCTGAAGACACCTATTTATGAGCAGGTGGTCCTGTAACAAGTCAAGAGAAAGAGGACACTCCAAGACTCATCCAAGAGCAGACAGCTAATTGATGAACCATGCCTTCATTTTGCCTACTTCCACTGACATAAAGAGGTTGGAAGATACTGATTCAGGTTCCTGTCTACCTGATATCTAAAGCTAGCTCCTAGTTTTTTGCCCCTTCATTCCAGCAACTATTGCCTTCAGCAGTTACTGGATTATAATGCAACCCTAACGTGGAGAATCGCCTATGCATTTCCAAACACCAGGTCTGCCAGAGTTGGTTCTCCTGCTGCTTCTTTAAAGTGTGTAAATGTAGTAGCAAAGTATTCAGAAAAACTGTATGTTTGAAGAATATACCTGTACCAAACCATCAGACCTCAATATAAATGAAGACCAATCTATTGCCTTATCACTGAGGAGCTACTGATATTGTAAGAGATCAAGATATTTGTTTTGGGGTCTTTACTTATGCTTGCTTGTTTGTTTTAAGAGTTGTATATAAAAAAACCCCTTCCAAGTGTCACAGAATTATTACCTGCTCACACAAGTAGAGAAGACAGACAGTTTATACAAACCACTATTTAAACAACATTAAAGCCTCCAAAATAGCGGTAAGAAATAGGGTTCAAAATATTAGGATCAGAATTTTAAAGATACAATTACTCCATCCATCTAGAAGCTGAGAGAAGAGTTCCAGGAATAAGCAGGAAAAGATGACAGCTTTCAAGCAACTATAACCTCACAAAAGTTGATGGGCGAAATGTAATGTATTTTACCTTAGAATCTGTCAGTAATGTATGTATGCGTATTCAAAATCATACCTTTTGGATTTAGTGCTTGTTCTTGGTCTGTACTCATGAGATTCATCTTCTATGCCATTCTGTCTTTTATACCAATCAAACAAAGTGCGCAGGATAGAGGGCAGACAATATTCTGAAAGTGAGCTCATTGAGCTTATTACCTATGGAGAAAATACAATAAGTGAACAAATCAACGGGTGTTCAAGTTTCCCCTCCTCCTTAAAAAAAACCCAAAACTAATTCAATGGTTAGGCAGGTTCTTTCTTGTTTTCATCTCATTTTTGAGATCCATGGTACAAGCAGTGACTTAATATTCTGCATTTCCTGTTGAAACATAAGCAGAAATACAATAATGTGCTGTATGTCAATAATGTCTTTCCACTGATGACACTAAAATGCATTAAAATGGTGTATCACATCTTACAGCACACCAGAAAACTATCTAGTTCTTCAAGAGGTTTATTTTTATTTGTCACACAAAGTTGATTTCAGTTTGAGCACATTATAAGGAAAGAAAAAGTGATGAATCAGAGGTACTGTCTTCATGGGTTGTATCTGACTGCTGGATGCCCCTCCTGAAACTCAGAATACATACTGAGAAGCCCCACAAGCTCTGCAAAGCTTTTAAGCAACTATATGTGCAGGTACATCCATCTTACTATTAGGCTCACACACCTGATAACTTAAGACTTTTCTATATATGAAAATTCATAGTTTCCTGTGTCTTTGTGTGCACAAATAAGTAAAACATAGTTTAAAATAATTCTTTGGAAGTTCCTGATTGAACAGCTCTAGTGGAATACTAGAAAAGATTACTGCTCACTCAGTATAAACTGTGTCACCCATTACAGAAATGTTACTGAACATGTTACTACTGAATTATTACCTAAACTTCCTATAACGGGAAACCATAAAACTGCAAAACACGGAAAGATCAAAAGCTAGGGTGAGAAAAACACCCATTATTATACAAGAGGATTATATACATATTGCAACTGAATGTTCACAGCTACAGCATTTGTGTACGTTCTAAGAAAACAGAAAACTATTTAAAATAGGAATAAATTACTGATCAGGAGATTTGTGACCACCTCAAGATCATGCAGGGCTTGATCCTGCGAAGTGCTGAGTAGCAGCAGCGAAGTGCTAAAGTATGTACTTCATGTCAAGTACACTGATTATGTCATTAACTCTGTCAGGTGTATCCACCTGTTTAAATTTAAAGCAGCACGTTTCAGTGCTTGTGGAACAACAGTAGAGTTTAATGTCGTGTATAACACCAAGCTTGTATGAACTCTGTGACTAAGACAAGGGCAAAACTGGGAGACTAAGCACCTTACATACAATTCCCAAATGTTACCAAAGCCTTAAATGAGAACTATTGTGGATGACAGTTAGTTTAGATCAATAACTCTGATCTCTTTTGCGTTTTTTCAGCCTCAGAATTTAACTCACTCACAGTGATGTAGTGGTCCAAAGTTAACGAGACACTCCTAGGATAAAGTATTATTGTTCGGGTATTATGGCCTAAAATTAAACATGGAGCGCTAGAAAGCTGTAATCACCTGTAAGCCACCCCTGTAAAAATAAACATTTCTATAAAAGTACTATTTTAGGAAAGCTTTCAGTCTCTGTTTCCAATATATTTTATTACCTGAAATATGAAACAAGTTGCTGTGGAAGATGGCATGAAGGCACTGCTTGCAGCAGTGACAGGAGGCCATTCATGTAGAATTACTACAGCAGCCCAGGCTCAATTATACCAATGCCTTCAAGTGTAAGACTTCAGATAAATACTTAGAAGACATGAATCACTGGTGTCAGCGCAAGCTATTCACTACCAACTCAGGACACTTAGACATTTCAATTGCTTCTCTATTGTTTTCCAAAAGTTTTTCTGAAGCTGGCATAACACCGGTTGTTAATTATGAGATGCAGTGAAAAAGGATTTGCTGGGGAAGACTAGAATAGAATCATAGAATTATCAAATGGTTTGGGTTGGAAAGGACCTTCAAAGATCATCTAGTCCAACCCCCTTACAGTGAGCAGGGACACCTTTAGCTAGATCAGGTTGCTCAGAGCCCCATCCAACCTGACCTTGAATGTTTCCAGGGATGGAGCTTCTACCACCTCTCTGGGCAGCCTGTGTCAGTGTTTCACCACCCACATGGTAAAAAATTTCTTCTTTATATCTAGTCTAAATCTGCCCTCTTTTAGTTTAATACCATTACTCCTTGTTCTATCGCAACAGGCCCTGCTAAAAAGTCTGCCCCTAAATAGACCTAAATATTTTTTAAGAGATCACAATATTTAACTGTAAGTGAAATGTGGTTTCAGTCAGGTCTTCCTGCATGTTCACCAACACATTTATCAATGTTGTTCTCTAACTCCCAGCTACACAATTTCACTAGCCACAAAAAGTCAAAGTGATTCCAGTTAAATCTCCTCAAGCCATACTTTCCCTGCTGAATTTATAGTGTGTGTCTTTAGTAGCGATAAAAGGCAAATATAGCTTTTTTTTTAATCTTTCTGTCATTGCACTTTTAAGACAGGAAGGAAGGGTGGACTGAGCAAAGACCTGGCTCTCAGGGAACAGGAAGGGAGGGAAGTCTAGCCAGCACATTGGTTACTCAACCCTTTCATTTACTGGAAGTAAGTCCAGGAGTGAGATGAATTCTAGCTCTGTGCTGCTCCTGAAAGGGAGTGCACAGATGTACAAATATGTCCTTGTTGGACAAATGATCATGTTCTTCCATCATAAATGAACTACCTACTGTATAGCTTAAGGATAAAAAAGCTGCACAAGCAGGGAGCTGTTTAAAACTTGTGTTCCCAGAGCATTAAATATACTTTATGTAAATGAATAATATTTATTTTGGACTAACTTGTAACAGTAAATTTAATGAAATTCTGCCCAGGTAGTTTGCTACAGAAGAAAATAGGTACTTTCATAAAAGTCTTGCTATATTGTCAAAATACAAACACAGGAAATGTTTCCACTAAGAGCAGATACATGCCAATTACTTTTTTTTAGTTCAGATATCAATTTCTATGTGCTTTAACAACAAATATATTCAAAACTGCTTTCAATTTCCAACAGTATCATTAATTTCTTGGCTCTGCATTTTTTTCAAATACCATATATGTCAGTGTGTATGTCAAATGTACATTTTATTGCCATTTTAAAAATGCAGAATTGCAGTACTTAATTTTTGCATACTGTTGGTTTATTTTTTTGGTAAATCTATTATTTGCACAGTGTCTGCATATTCTGTCTTCAAGTTGTCGCTGTGTAGATTCTAAATAATGGACATTAGGAGTGAGATTTTATACTTTCTATTAATGCTACCGAAAGCAGAATTTGATAAATACTGTTTTAGCTATATTTAGGATACCCATAACCATGCAATAATATCTTCCCTTCATTCAATGTTTTTTCCCACTTCATGCATGTCTATAACAAAGCTGCATAACTACAAACAATACAGATTGATGGAAAGTAACAGCTGCGATGAAATCCTTGCTCCCTGAAATCAACAGCAAAACTCTTATGGACCACAGTAAGACATGCAATATATGAAATTAGGGAGACAAAGTTAACAATTCCTAATCCAAATACTCTAGACTGGGGCAGGGGAAAGGTGGAGAGATGACCTGCCTTAAGTTCTAGTCACAGCAGCAACATGCTCTAATCTTGTTGGACCCTCTGAGAGAAAACATTTTTTTCTGTAATGATAGATTTTGAGACAAGTCAACTCTAATTGAAAAATCTGTAAAATGAAACATTAGGAGCAAGTAGTGCAGTTGTGTTTGCTTAGATCTCCTTTCATTCATATCTTTGGTCTAAGCATTTTTTTTTGACAGTGCTATGAAGTTAAATCTCCTTGGCAATGGTTAAACCTGATAACTACTAAGTTGGACTCATTAGTTTTCATTTATGGCCTTGGTTTTGTGAGTAAAACAACAGTGTTTTTATATCATAATTTTGTAGATGGGCAATTTCACCTAGCTTGCTTAAACAGTAGCAATGTCTATAGCTATTTTACTGCCAGGGTAACAGTTTACATGAAAACCCCTTTATTTCTAGTGTGCAGCAGATTCAGATCTGAACATGTTACCTTTAATTTTGCCTTCAGATTTACTTTTTTACACACTGCTCGAACCTCTGATCGGGAGCCAGTGGTTGTTCTATAACCCATCATCACCATTTCTTATACTTCCTCTGCCACGTGCCCTTCTGCTGGTGAAGAAGGACAATGTGTAAAACGCAGGGAAAGGGAACAGAAAAGGGGCCAACTGCAGTGCTACTGCAATGACGATGGTACCATTTTTTGCTTACTACATCTAACAAATATTGAATAGGAATAACTATCAGCATGTCATTTACCATGTTTGGGCTGTTATGAAAACAGGACACTTAATCATTAGTATGTTGCTTAGTGTCTTATTTATTTATATTTGTGTTTTCCACATTTTTTATTATTATTCATTTTTATTTTCCTTTTTTGCTTAACCAATTATTTTTCCATCTCATAAAAGTATATAAAACATTAAATGTTTTTGCTTTCCAATCTATATTCTCCAACCTAGTGCACTTCTAAGAAGAGAGCAGTATAAAATGAGTACAAATTTTTGTGCAGTTTATGCTGAAAGTCCTGCTACAGGCACCTCATATAGACAGCTTCATACGAAAACTAAGACTTGCTGGTAAGTTTTCACTTCCATGACCAAAACATTACATTAATTTTGTATTTTTATATGGAAGAATGTCTGTGGGTTGGTCCAAGATTACACAGTGCCCTTTTTCTGCCTCCAGTGTTGTCAGTTCACCGAACATTTATATACTGTGGTAAGAACAGAAGATACTTTATTAGGGCTGAGAAAAGACTAATAAAAATGTTTCCTTGGGTGAGGTTAAGCCTCTTGGATAATTATGGGGTTTTTAACCATGGCGTTTGATCTTCTCATGTACTGCAACTTTATGGTTTCCTGTAATAGGAAGTTTAAGTCATAGTTCAGTAGTACAATGTTTAATAACATTTCTGTAATTGAGGACACAGAGCATGCTAATACTGAAGCAGCAATGCTCTTTGCCAACAGGCAACTAGAGTTGTGTAATCTTGCCTAACCAAGAAATTTTAAAACATGATTTTGAATATACTATAAAAATATATATAATATGAAAAACCTACACAATTTCCTGTATATATTTTCTTTTTATAAATACACACCTAAAAAGGAAAATGCAGTTTGTTAGGCTAATGGTGAGACATTCTGCAAGTCAGGATAAGTAGGATTACTTCATACATTGCTCAAGATACTATTATGAGTTTGAGAAGGGTGATGCAACTGCCAGCCAGCCAGAGCCCACAGGACAATACTGCCTGCCTAAGAGGAGGCACTGACACTACATCCATATGGAGAGAAACAGCTCTGCCTGTGCACAGTCAGGTCCCTAGATGCCAGATCCATCACCCATCATAGCATTCCTAATATGTTTTTTGAGAATGGTCAGGGAAAAATGCTAGTTCTCAGAGAGCCAGAGATAAAGCTGTTCAGGGGAAAGTAAGCAATGCTTTCATCATCGTTTTACATGGTTCAGGGGTTTCAGTGTTAAAATTGATGCTGATTACTCTGAGTAGTTAAAGTTCCATTCTGCTCATTGTAAGTTACTGCAAAGGGGTTTTTTGGCTGTTTTTTTCCACCTCTGAAGCTGATTTGCAAAAGGCAAATTTTAAATCAGGTCATGCCTTACTTTTGTGGCTTTTTAATTTACATTAAAAGTTAGAAGATGCAGCTCAGATATTTTAAAGTAACTAATGACCTGGCCACTTCAGCATCACCTACCAATTTCATTCAAATGGAACAGAGATAATTTTGATGAAGTCAAAAAAAGAAAACTATGTTCCTTTGACAGTGTGTCACTTTTGATGACTTAAAATTGAAAATCAGAATTATTAGAAACCCCTTGAAAATGGTTGTTCATGGGGATTCTCCCTCTTTTCCTCCTTCATTTCTGCAGTAAAAATGTCAGGAATGTTGTGTGTGGCCTTTCCTGGTTTTGCTAGATGACTTTATGTATTCCAGGAATAAACACTACAGCTTTCCACACCTTACCTGGAAGGCAGAAGCAAGGGATTGTCAACCTGGTCTTCCTTCATCCCACAGACTCTTTACATTCTAGAGTTAACTCAAAAACTTAAAACTTAAATGGTTTGACTTAAAGCACATGCCCTCCTACTTGGATTTTAGTATGACGTGGAATCATGATCTTCAGAGTTTTGCAGGTAGACCATACCTTCATTTTTAATATCAGCAAAATTACCCATACTTTCATGACAACTTTATAATACTGACATGTTATCATTTGCAAAACAGCTTTATAATACTGAGATGTACTCACCTAATCTACCAAGTGAAACATGCCAACTAACAAAGGACTTTTTGCTCTATCTTTCTGTCTCTACTTTAGCCGAGTTCTATAAAATCTCTACTGTGTATTACAAATTTTTGAATGAAAATCTAACTACAATTTTGCCAAACTAGAATGATTTGGCAAATATGAACCATGTTCTTGAAAACAGACTCATCAGCCAGGTTCAGGTCCCATCTCCCAATCACAGGTGTACATCAATCCCAGGAGTACTACAGCATCTCAAAATGATCATGGTGTTCAAGCAGAAAACAATGTGAAACCTCAAAGGGAAACATTCCCATCAACTCAGGCTGAGGCAGACAGACAGTGTGAAAATTTTAATCTGAATAGTTTGTTTGGAAAATTTCAAGGAACTGAAAACAAGGCTTTCTGACAAGATGTCTAAGGCAATCTCAGCTCTGTCTTTTCTATCAACTCTACACATTGGTAGGACTCTACAGATATGCAGTTAGAAACATATACAAATGTTGTGTATAACAAAATTTGCCTTTGTTTTTCGTCCGCATCTGGGTTTTTTTCCCCCAACATTCAGAGTAAATTGCTACAGTAGTAAACACACAGTTGTTTCACTCTACGAAGAATTTGTTGTTCTCATTAACTGATCTTGACTTAACTGTTCAATTTTCTGTCTACTTACCAATAACTAGGAGAAGCACGTGTCTACTAATTCTTCCTTGTAAAGGGCCACAATTTGCTTAACCACGAATATTTAATCAAATCGTGGCCACCCATTATGTGTTTGTTTAATACACTGCAGGAACACTATCAGAAGCTTTGCATATGGGTGGCTTAATTTGTTTTTCTTTCCCATTTACGTGTGACACTCTTCCCACAGGAAGGAAAAAAAAAAATAAAATTAAGGTCAGAATACCACAAAAAATTTCATTAGGGAGCTAGGGAGTACTCACAAAGCAGCCTCCTTTAGTCTACAGTGGCTGGCTCCCCTGCAGGGTCTCTCTGTGGCCAGCAAGGTGGGCAGGGAACTCCCCAGTGCAATGCAGAACTCCTACCGTTCGCCTCTGCTCTGAACTCTGCTACCTCTCCCCAAAAAGCAGCTATAGAACAACCTAGAGAGCATCACTTTGTCAAGCTAAAAGTATGAAGTGAGACTTTGTGAACACCACTGGGGTCTCACAAGGCGTCTTTGCTTCTGGTGCAATGTATCGAATGTCCCAGAAAACACAATAAATGTGTTAAATTAATCTGTGGTTCTGAAGTCCTACTCACACCTTTCTCCTCCACCAAAGTTAATCAATATGGTACCTGCAGCTTATGGCATTAGCCACAGTTGCTTTCAGAGTTGTTGCTGTTGTTGCTGCTTCTGCTACGTCTTTCTGTCCTGCATTTCTGGCACTGCTGGCAGCACAGTGGTGCGGGCAGCCATGGAGGGAGCAAAGGCAGCTGAGGCAGGAATGGTGGAGCAGCAAATAACTGTGTTGCTTATGACACACCCTGAATTTATCCTTCCTCTTTGTGGGAATGAGTTTTGGCATCCTTTACACAACTTAAAACTCTTCAGCACCTATCTTTAATTCAAACTAGGTTACTTATGTAGGAATTTTTTCTAGATGACTTTTTTCTTAAGAAAGACTGCTGACAAAAATTCTCATATACCATTATTAAAAAGTGTGTATATTGCTGTTGGTTTTATTTTTAAACTTGTCCCATTTCCCTTACATAATAAATTCATTAATCCAATGCCAGATAGAAATTTCATTTTATCAATTACAATTTTATTGTTTTATTAAATGTAATCTGATTAACTATATAAATTCTATTTTAGTTTTTAATTATTTTTCCCTGCCAACTATTTTTCTCTAATTATTATTTACCTTGTCATATATAGGCATTTATCCTGACAACTGAATTTATGCTTGACTTTAAATACCACAGGTTGGCTCAGCCTATGTGAAGTGCAGTATACATGTAAGTCATGCTGGGTCACAGCTACAGAGACAAAATAGACTGATGAGACTGACAGCAATGACAGTGATTCTAAAGGTCCTCATATTAACCACAAGAGAAACCCCACAAAAAAAAGACTGGGGGCCATGTGACTATTTCAAAAATCAGATATTCTTAAAAGATACAAAGTTTGCTTCGAAACCTCCATCAGAAGAAACAGCCAGGAAATAATACACATGCCTCATACACTGTAAAAAGCAGTAAGTTCTACAGCAAAAAAATATTGAGGTTGAAAACAGTGGAAAAGTCCTCCTAATTTAAACCCAAGAATGGTTAGGCAATGTACTGAAGTACCTTAAGAAATACTGCTTTTGCAGTATGCAACAACAGCATAAGGACACTAGACTGCCTTCCAAGTATTTGTCTTATAGCCTGAGGAATGGAAATAATACAATTTCAAGTGTCTTACTTGATCAAACTGGGGGTCTTCTCCTCGTTGCAGAGATTTGGTCAGTGGCTTCTCCTAAAGGAAAATATATTAAATATGTATTACTCAAGATCAGTGCTATGATATATTCTATCAACTCTACTATTATTTTTCTGTTAGATTTTTACTCACATAATTTGCCTTCTGATCAGTTTCATGCTGGAGATACTGTTTGTTTCATATGCCAAGGACACCTCTGCATACATAGGACCTAATACTGACAAGGTGTCTTTAGTTTTTGAGTCTTTCCAAGAAAGAAAAGAATTAACCAGTTATCACACTTGAGTTATTTGGTGCTCACACTGGTGATGAATTCTTTCAAAATCCTAAAAAGCACTTGGTATTTTCTCTAATATGTAACCAAGGAGCTCTATTTAACTACATGATGTACTTTCTTGTTATAATACTACCATGCACTACACACACTACCATGTGTCCATAGATATAGTGCATCAGACAACACATACTGAAAGAAAGGTGGGTTTAGAAGAATCAGATACCATTGAGTTCATCTTTAAGAAAGATAATTGTGGAAAAAATGGCTATTACTCAAAAAAAAAACCAAAACCAACACAATTTTGTAATGGAAGCAAATTTTCAGGACATGTTCTCACAGTACCTGGGAAGGCCAAGGAGAACTGCTCAACTCAATAAGTGTCCCCAGATGTGAACACCCATTCACCTTTATGGCTTTTTTGCCAAGCAGACTCAATTACTGAGGCATGTAGAAGTACACAGTCCAGTATTCTAGATACACACAATAGTATACAAAACATGAATCTCCTAAACCACAATGAAAATAAACAATACATGAAGGCAGATCACAGCCTGAAAAACATGTCACCATCACCATCACAATTCTGCACTGAATTGTACTACTGTTGCTGGTATCTGAAATGTGTAAGTGCCTTATTCTTCTGTAAATCACACATCTTTCTTCTCCTACAGCTGCAAGACTGGGGCTCTCCCACCAGCTCAGCACGAGATTTTCTGTTCAGCTTTCAGCAAAATATTACACTCATCAGCATCTGTTAATGTATCAGGCAAAACATCATCAGTGCCAGGGGATGTGAGATGCAAAACAAATCTGTAAAGCTGCTGAGATAATGGAATGGAGAGACTTGAGGCGGTCCAAAGATTTCTATTATTTAACGTTTCTCTCTGGAGAAAATGTTGCCCAGTATAATGTGCTGACTAATTTTGAAATTAATTATGCTGATCCACTTGTAATGCCAGCTGGCAAGAGGGCTGGCTGCAGGGTGACTATGGTATCCCTTGACTACCTACCAAACAGAAAAATCAACAAAATGTTTTCTACTGAGTCACTGATTTATCCAGGACAGTCATCAATATTTTTCATTGTTACCTCTAATGTCTAAAGTGACTCCTCCAGGTTGCACTAAGGGCACAACAGCTGTTAATTATAATTTTATGATAGATTATTGGTAAGGAACAGACACAGTAAAACCTTGTAGCCCAGAAACAGATGCAGGACACTACCCAACCTGCAGTCCTTCTCGATCAGTAACCCAGTGGTACCCCACCTAGTTGTGTCTCATAGGAGGACGATACTTCTTTTGTCTGTTGCCACACACTGAAAAGGACAGCAGATAATCTTTCAAAAATCGTGTTCAATTTCTTTAAAGGGAAGATTCTTAAGTTTTCATGGGTCCTGGACAAATCAATGTACCGAGAATTACTGCAGTTTAGGAAAAAAAACCCAACACACAAACTCACAAACTTTTTTTTAAAAATTAAATTTCTGACTTATGTTACCACAGAGAAGTTTCTTAAGGTCTGTTTCAAGAAAAAGGGCTTTGGCACGCAGAAGCTTTGTGTTCCTGTGCACGACACTGCAATGCTTGGCTTTCAGAGTAGTATCTAAAATCCTGCAGAAATGCATTCAGCATTTCAGGCAGAAACGAGGCGTGGGATTCTTCATCACATGCTTATCTGTCAGGTGGACGCAACTAAACGAGACAAAACATGCTCTGGAAACCCCGGTCTGGAACTGCAATCCTGAAAATGTCCTAATCGCCTGTGACCTATCTCTGGAAGCAAACACATTTCACAAATATTTCAGTTTCTGATGGTGATGTTCCCAGGGGCTGCGCTTCTGAATTAGTGAAGATCCCTCCATTTTGACTAGACAATACAACTCATCTCCTCCCCTCTTACAGGCGACTAGACCAGGGCTCCCCAAACTGTGGTATGTTCACCTAAAGAAAACATTCACAGGTCATGCAACAGACTTGTCACAGCAGAAGGCAGCCCTGGGATGAAGATCAGCCAAGGACATTTATCAAAAGCCAGGAAGGCTTCTGCTGCCATAACTTTTCAATGTCCCCAGTCTAGGGCTTTAACTGAGGCCTTTTTCTTCCCTTCAGCCCATCCTGCACCTACTGCTGTTCTGCCGCTTCCCCTCTACTCGCGCTCTTGCCAGGCAGCAGCTGCTGCTGCAGCTGTCTCTGCCTCTTCTTCGTCCCCCTGTTAGAGTTCCTGCTGTTGCTGCTTTTTCCTTGACTCTTTCCAAGTACGGTGCTGCCACTGACTCTGCCTGCAGCGACTGCAGTGACGACTCAGCCCAGCTAGACGCAAGCTGACCCTGCGAAGCCAAGTGTCTCCGCACATAACCCCTGTTCTGAGAGCGGGGTGCCCATGTCAGAGCAACTCACTGTACTCCCGCAGTGAATGGCAAAAACCACAGAAAACTGTATTTGGGGATCTGAGAAAACTCACAAAGTAGAAGTCATTACTATTTACTTTATTACTAGTGAGGAGTACTGAACAAATAATGAACTGAATACAGATGAAGGGCCAGACACAAATACGGTTTTGGTGTCTAAGAGCTCCTAAAATATGGAAGGATGATTGCTTGCATGATGAGCACAACAAGTGACAATGTCAGGAAGACATTGCTGAGTAGATTCAAAGACAGTTCAACTACATGCAGGTGCCTCAAGTGTCCTTTGAAAACAGCAATTTTTCTTTATGCAATAGATAATTCCTTCAAATCTACCATAAACAACTTCCCTATTCTATACCACCTAGTTCTAATATCCTTACATCTATGGCAGCTACTCTGTAAAATATATTTATACTCATGGTAGATGTTTTCATTATATACCAAAGGTTCAAGACTAGCAAAATCAAGGTTAAAATGTATAATAAAGTGAAACTGCCACTGAGTAATAGATTCCATAGCAGTCTATTTATCCTGAATATATATACTTATTTAAGTTTTTTAAAAAAATCTCTAAAATGTTTTCAAGCCTCAAGGCGCTGTTATTTTTATTTATTTTCTTGCCCACCCAATTCAGAAATGGCAAAGAGGCCCTTTTATATTATGAGTTGACTCTGTTTGGGTCTCTGTAGCTATAATATATTCTACAGAAATGTCTTCCAAATCTTGGATGAATAGGTAGGCTGCATTTGGAGCCAAAGCCTACAACCACAAAATATGAATAAAGAAAGTTCTGATTAATCTGAAAGAGCCCATAGCTTTCTGGGCTATAAAAACCGTCAAAAAATTCCAGAAGAATGGACTCTCAATAATAACATTTCCATTTTTAATCACTAAGTTAAACATCCTTATTCCTTGTTTGAAGTGCTGCCTTCAATTGTATACTCTGTATTTGTTCAAGCTGGAAACTCCCATGATATGAATACATGTTATGGACAAACAGTAAAGACCAGCAAAGACAATTTTGCATTTAATATCTAAAACCATAATTTTTAAAGACTATCTGAACTTTCTGCATCACCAATGCTTACAAAACACAATGCTCACCTAAAAATTAATTTCCTTCCTCTGCCTCATTGCTGTTATAAAAACATTAGTAGAATAGAATACAATAAAATAGAGTATGTTGGATATGCAATGGCAAATGTATATTTTATCACATTTGCATGCATGAGCTAAACATATTTATAGTTTAGCTAAAAAATATCAGTGAAATCCTCTATTCACACAGGCACACTAAAACATTTCTCCAAAGACTGTCAGCTACTTTCAATGGTTAATATATTAATGCTTTTTCAGGGATGCTACACAAATATAATTGGTCAAATTTACACAGGAATAGGCTTTCTTAACCACCTGTCACAGAACTGAGTGTTCAGGGAAACATGAAAAAAAGGATATGTTGTAATGCCTATTAAGCTTCACTATGTCACCATGTTATAATGATATATAATGTCCCTTGAAGTTATTTCTAACCTCTGCAACCATTAGACACATTATTCCTACTGAACTATGACAGGGCATTGTATTACTGACTGAGATAAATCCCTTCTTTTTATAAGAGCATAGAGGACAAAAAGATTATTTTGATACAAAATGTAACTTTTGCACTGCATGCTAAAAGGCTGTCACACATGCTCTACTGAGTAGTCTGCTGGGATGGAAGAGTTACCAGAAAGAAACAGCAGAAGAATGGACCTTTTCACGTAAAATGGAGTAGACTTAGACCACATTCAACTACTATAGCTACAATATATATAAAATGCATGTAAGCGCAATCTTAAGAGTACATGGTACACAGACAGTAAAATAAACAGAAAAGGGGATTTCTTTTATCAACCTTTGAAATTCTAAGCATACACTGAAAGGAAATGCTAAAGGCAAACATAATAAAAAAGATATGATAATACAGCTTCATGAAAACACCACAACTCTGCATAAGACAAAATTATAGACTCCAAAAATGTTAAAGAAAACTGATGAATTTCATGTAACTTTTGAAAATTAAGTAAAAAACCAATGCTAATTGTACATGGTATTTCACACAGAGAAGAAAGTATTTTTCAAGTGGCTATGAAATATATGTAAAAATATTCTACATCTCCCATAAATTTTTATTTTAGCAAACTCAGGTCAAAAACCTACTTTTCTTTACAGTTGGTGAACAAAAATAGTGAAAGGTGTATGTTTAGAAGACAGCCTCAGTATTACTCTGCCTATTTTTTCTTCAGGCAATTGATCTTTGCTTTGTAATAGCTCTTACGTTTTGTTCACATGGAAGAGGATGTCCCCA